TTGTTTATGTGTGTATTACTGTATTGTATACCCAATATGAACACTATCAACTTGTGGTAATATTACGTGCTGTGCTTTCTCATACAGGTAGGGACCTTAAACTGTGAATCCGAAAAGTCCTTATGCAAGGAGCTTGGGGTGTATCCTCGAAGAGAACCGAGATTCTATATTTACTCACTTGGGTCTAGTGGAAAAGGTTTGTTGGTAGAATATGATGGTGGTTTGGAAGTAAAATCTCTGAAAAGCTTTTCTCAGGAGCATCTTCCCAGAATCTCGAAGCGTGTGAATTTGAATAATTTAAAAGTTGCATCTGAGGGTGGGAGTCTACCCAAAGTGTTGCTCTTGTCCACGAAGAAAAACACTCCCGTTATTTGGCGTACACTAAGTGGCTTGTATCACAAGCGTTTTATCTTCTATGATACTGAGGTACTTAGGGCCTGCTTGTTTACTAAATTTTCAGTTTTTATTGTTTTTTCATGTTAACTAGAGTTTATTTGAAAAAGTTGATATGGTTAGTTGTTGGTGGGATTTTAAGTTTGTATTAAAAAAATATTTAGAATAAAATGATTAACATTGATTTGATTAAAAGTAGGGGATAATGATTGGAATTGATGGGAATGATAGATAATTAAAATTATGTGAGTGAATGAATAGTGAATTGAAGTTAATATGATGTGTAAGAATGATTGAATGGCATTAGTTAATTATATTGATAATATTGAAGATAGTGGAGTTGAGTTAAAGTTGAGTTAGATTTTGAATTGAGATTATTTTTTATTTTTTTATTTATTTTTATTTTTATTTTTATTTTTATTTTTTTGAGAAAAACAAGCAACCAGGTTCCTTTTTTTTTCCCTTCCCTTTTGCCCTATTCTTGACGTGGTTTAATGGAGGTTGTTTTTTGGAATATATCATAGGTTCGTGATGTTTCAGACTCCTCTGTGAGGGAATTAGACATTGATTCACTTCCTGCTATCATTGGTTGGCTATCAAGCGGGGAGAAGCAAGTTATCAAATCCGGCATTTCTGTAAAAGATATGAATTCTGCAATTCAAGATCTCAGCAAATTACTCGACAATTTTGAGAAGAAGAATAAGAAGGCGGCTTCCAAAAAAGATCAAACCGAGTCGGGAGAGAGGAATATACCGCTGCTTACAGCATCAAATTTTAACGATATTTGTGATGAGAAAGTACCCGTCTGTTTAATTGGGGTCTTCAGGTCATCGATAACAAAGGACAAGCTACAGAAGATATTGCAATCTGTAAGTGTCTCTATTCCCTGAATTTGAAAAAAGTAATTTCTCAAAGGAAATGTGTGCTCTCTATACTTTCACATCTCTATGCAAGTTTATCATTCAGAAATTTTACATACCACCCGTCCTGTTGCAATATCACCCTACCCAACTTTTCAAAGTAGCTCCCCTCGTTGGAATTAGTGTAAAAGTTCAAATCAGGAAAAAAAGGTAACATGAACAATGAATAATATTTCGTTTATTGATCTTGCAAGGTTTGTTAGGGCGTGATTGTAATTGGATATGATTATAATCCAACTCAACCGGTTATAACCGGTTGTGTCATTTCATATCCAATCACCTAATTCGAGTCATTTTATATCCAATCACCTAATTCATCACCTAATTCAAGATCTAACTCAACTCAATTCTCCTACTTTTTATAAGTATAATTAATTAATACCGATCAGTCATTCTCACGTATCACATCAACTTTAATTCACTATTTATCCATTAACATAACTTAATATATGTCACTTCTCATAATTTCTCTCATACTTTTACATTTAATTATTACATTTTAAATATTATTTAAATTCAAATCTACTTTATTCGCAATAACCCATATCGAGTTGCTTCCTTAAAAGTGCATAAATTTATTTAATCGTCTATCAGGAAATTAAACTCATATTCGTTATTATACCTGTTTGTTTGTTCAGGTGTCCCAAAAATCATTTTCTAGGCGGCTGAGTTCGAACTCAGGACCAAGAGACTCGGTTGCCTATGCTCTATTGGATGCTTCAAAGCACCAATCATTTCTAAATACATTTGACAAGTCGGGATTCAAGTCAGGATTCAAGTCAGCAGATATGCTCTTGTTGGCCTACAAACCAAAGAGAGGAACATATGCTACGTCTCGTGAAAAAATAACCGAAGAAACAGCCGAGAGGTTCATTAGCTCGGTACTCAATGGCGACGTACAATTTTCAAAGACTAGACAGAAACCGAACCTGAAATAACGTGTTGTATATTTTTTTTTATCTCTGAGCGTGGAGGTAATTTACTGTTCTCGCCGGGTTTTTGAAAGGGGATGTGCATAAGTCATCATTATCTATCCTGGGGAAAGATTTGCTCAGTTGAGGTAAAAAATTAAGTCTCCATTTTGATATAGGTTGTTATATTGCATGAATGATTATGGTCCTTATGAAGTGGGGAACATTTTTGTCTGTAGGGTTTACTGGAAATTTTTCATCAGTAACGTTAGATTTCTTTGTATATTATGGAATTATACTGGTATATATATATACATGTGAATAATGCAAGTTATATGTTATTATTTATTACTAGTTGATATATGAGTTGGATAGAAATAGAGAAAGAAGTGATGGAAATGAGATAGGGAACTACACTACGGATGAAACCAGTGTTCGAACCAATGAATTGAGTCGAGCATTTTTTTTAGCTGCTCGAGCTCGCTCGTTGAACTCGAATTATGAGGCTCGAGCTCGACTCGATAAAAAAGTACATCGCTCGAGGTCAGTTCGAGTTCGACGCGAAATCAAAGTGCTCAAGCCCGGAAATTTTTGACATTTAATAACATATAAACATTTTTTCACATTTACAATTTATGTTTTTTCAGGATTGATTCCTAGACCATTTGCATGGACCAAACCTTCTAATTTGTTAATGGGAGCCAGAACACTTAATTAAAAATAATCATGCAAAAAATATGGGATAATTATATTTTATTACTTGGAGCATAAGCTCTCTCCACATATGGAGTTTGATTAGGAATTGAATCTGCCCACAAGATATACATGCAATATGTAACATATAAATTAATCAATCAATTAATTAATTATTACTCAAGAAAGACCCAATCACTACATTAATATTGTCTAATTGTAATTTGTTAATGTTATAACAATTATCTTTTGAGAAATTAACTACTAATTTCCAATCTTTATATGGTAATCACGATAATCGATATCATGTCCATTACAGTAATATATTTAAATTAAATAGGTTTGCATGGAAAATTATTTCAAGTAAGCCATTTCTTGCGCTTAGGGACAACCGATTAAGAATAGAATCATACCTGCATTTAAAGCCTAACTTAATTATGCATTATTTTTTCTCTTTTTTTTTTTATTTATTTTAATTTTAGTGCACCTTTAACTGACTTAGGAGATATACAAAATGATACTACGTTTTATTTAAATTATACACAACTAGTACAGATCCCGTGCGATGCACGGGGTGCACAAAATTAAGGTCATTTATCAAGTCTTATATTTATATAAATGAATAAAGAAAAATGTACG